AACGTCGAATCTGAATCACTTGAAAAAAACACGGGGGTGCTTAACTTTTTTTCCAGGTGTATATATATACACACACACACAAGTTGTATAAATGCCCAAGTTCATTCATTGGACAATAGTTAAAGCATAAATTCCCACTTCCAAACTGAAGAAAATGTTGGTTTAACATTTTTTGTCATTCAACTTCTTACAGTCAATTATACAACAAGAACCATTATAATGTTAAAGAGCTTATATCCTAAAACACCATCACTATATAACCAGAGATCACATACGCAGTAGCTTGTGTTGATCAGGTATCAATCATTTTCATGATCACCTAAGTCTAATTCTTAATGAGTAACTTTTTTATAACTTAATACTAACTAGTTTATATTCTACTTTTTTTTTTAATCTGTTGCTGTCTTCAAGGAGCCTTTCAATCAAATCAGGACTTTCCTGAAAATGGCAACAGATTATTAGCCAAAAGTATAGGATATAAAATAGAAAATAATAATACAAATTAATATTTAGACTTAGATAATCATACAGCCTATTAATCATGACAACATCCAGAAATCTTATCCACAGTCATAAGCTATTGGTGGTATTTGAAGTGGTATTCCTGCTTGGTTTATGAATTACCCTTATTATACTTACATATCCTTTGAGCATAAAGAACAAAATCTCACCTGTTCTTTTATTATCTGTTCAGGTAGATTCACACTACCTCGAAGAAGGGCGTTAACCTTCTGGAGACGAGATAGAGGCTCCGGTGTAATTATAAAAAATGTCTTATTTACTGGATCAATTGCTCGCACAACACCTTTAATAGAATATAAACAGGAAAAATCCTAGTTTTACAAAACAAAGTTTCCAAAAATGACATCAAATTGTTAAATCTTTACAAAATACTACCCACATAAACTATTGGAAGCTCATGTAATATAAAATTGTTTTTTTACTACAACACTACTAGTTAGAACGTCTGTTGCACATATTCCAGGTACAATATAAATGTACTTTTATGAAGAAAGAAAAATTGAAAGCTACTTAAATATGGCAGAATATGAATATTAGTTTACTTGTTTGTTTGTTCTTATCTTAGAGCAAAGTTACATTGGGCTATCTGCTGTGTCCACCACAAGGAATTGAGTTCTGGATTTTAGTGTTGCAAATCCATAGTCTTACTGCTGTCTCATCGGGGGGACATGTATATTAATAAGACTCATACAACTTAAAAAATATTATATTGTAGTAAAGAGTGGAAAAAAGTAGAAAGATTGGTTTGATTCATTCTTTTTTTAAGATCTTGTCTATATACTGAAATAACTTATGTTCTCATTTATTTACTAGAAAAGGTCTGAGTTAAGAAACAGAATGATTAAATCTTACCAAATCCAAAACACTCATTGACTAAGGTTTTTGGCAGAAGTTTGGGAAAGCTTGGATCTTCAGGTTGTTTCATCTGAATACAGAATATAGATTATCATTACAAAGTGTTTTATAACAATAAAAATCTCCAGTAAATTGTTCAGGGATAAAAGCAACAGCTGCAAAGAAATGTTTAAGTTCTACCTAAACTTTATTGTATTCTATCAGATATTAAAATCTTCAATAAAGTGTTTAGGGATCATGTTTTATCATTTCACTTCTAGGATAGTGCTACACATATTTCTTCTTTGACACAAAGTTTAATATTTGTAAATATCAGTTCTCTGCAGCTTACAGAAATTATATTAAGGAATTACTCAGTTTATTTCATGAAACTGTTCTCATTTCTCAAATGAAAAGTGTATTACAGATTTCATCTTAATTCTTAATTATACTTTAATTGCTAATACAATTTTCACATTCAACTATTCTCTTAATCTGCATGTGTATTACCATCTTACAAACACTTTGTGAGAATTATTAATAAAAAGTAAAATACGTCTTCTGATTTGTTAACAAACATAACACACATCAATACAAATTTCTAAACCAGTTAAAAAAGTATTTAATAAGTTAATAAAAGGCTTAACTATACTCCAGTAAATACACAAATACTGGATTTTAAAGAACTGCAATTAATATATGTTAGAGTTGTATTTGTTAAGTATATGTTTTTTATTTAATGTCACAACACTTAAAAACCAAAACTTACAACAGCCAGTTGATACATTTAAAATGCTATTTTTATACAATTGTTTAATTTGAAATTCACATTGCACTGGCTGAGATAACTGTGCTAAAAACAGCTGTAGTCGTACTCAAGCACAAGAAAATCTTCTCCATTTTACATCTCGACATTAATTTTCAGAGCTCGTTTTCTTTTGTTTGATAGCCTTTGTCACATCTTAAAACAAATTCCAGTATCATCCAACTTTGCTGTTTTCCAATATTCAAACAAAAATAATTAAGACAACTACCATTAATCACACTAATTTCATACGCACATTGTAGTTATTATCAAATCAGAAACAAGAAGGTTTCTATAATATTTCATCTTAAGGTTGTAAACTCTGAAAGGCCTCGGCCTCATACCTGACTGCTATCAACTCGACACAGAGCCACTAGGCTTCCATTGAGTGCATACAAAATGTGGTTGACTGGAACATTGTCTTCACAAACATGAACAGCAACTGTAGCCCATGACACTCTGCAAGATATGTTCAGAAATTTTACAGACTATAGTACAAAGGAAAATGTTGCATTGCTTCAATCACTTTACAACACTCATTACTGACTGGATCACTGTAGAATGTTTTACTTGGTTGAGTGAGAATGTAAGGCTATATTACTCTGATTACATGCCACACAAAATATATTGATAAAACTTACTATAACAAAAAGTTCTGATGTTTAGAATTCTAACACTTGGTTAAAAATTCAATAAATATTTGAAATAAATAGTTTGAAAAACACTAGTTAACCAAAGTGCTTTTAAAGGTTCTGGAACATTCATTAAACCCAGTAATTTGATATTTTTTTAAAACAATATAACAAGTTTGATAACTCAAGTGTATAGAAGTAAATCAATGCTATTATCACAAATAAATTTTCTATAAATATTTGATGACGATGAACCCACTTTGAGACAAATAATGGTTGGAGACGGCTTGAATGGGTAATGAAGAAAAATTTTAATATAAGTTTTCTTCATTACCCATTCAAGCCGTCTCCAACCATTATTTCTATAAATATGTTAGTTAATTTATTCCATAGTGGCTGTCATACTAAAATTGTTTTAAACTAATAGAAGATATAATTACTTTTTAAAATGACAGGTATTGAAAGTAAACAATAGTGTAACATTTTCAGCATGGTACAAAAAATTTGATTTATATAATAAAATCAACCATTAAGTTATTATTTGATGTTCTCTTTTAATTATGGATTGTTGTTGTTTTTTTAAACACGAAGTAGGTACTTTGTTATAAGTTTAGCAACCTGACATCAGAATGAAAGTTAATACATGGGTCAGTCATGTTGACACTTGAAGTATAACTTATTAATTATACTAAAACTCTTCAGTCAAAACAATTACACTGAAAATACACTCATTATGTAAATATTTTGTTTAACATTATTATAGTACTTCCACAAATTTATTCAAAACAGAATACTATAAAAATACCTGAATGGGGTGAAAGAATTCAAGGGAAGAATGTATGGAACAGAGTTCTGAAGTTTTCCAAGATATGCCATTACCGCCATAGATCTTAAAACAGGTGCTGCAACATTCGGCCTACAAAAACAAATGAATCATAGTAACAAATACTAATGTTTCGTATTAAAGTAAAAGGACATATAATACTTTTTTAAATGAGATGATATTTCACTATTATTATTATTATTCTGGCTTATACACCTTTTTCACAACATGTACAATTAAACAGCTTCAGTGTTCTACTTAATCTAATTTTAACGTTTTATACATATATTAACTCTTTCAGCACGGGCTCGATCCCTGTGACCAATCTAATAAACATTTTGTGCTTGTTATGGTTTTCATGCTATAACTTTTAAATTAGTTA